TTGATATTGCCAGAGGTTAACAATGGCAAGTTTTCAGGCAACAACCAGGAAACCAGAACTCACAGTTATAATTCAAGTGATCCTTGAATGGTTTGTTGACTGAAACCTCAAGCACTCTCTCTAGTCATGCCATATGGAAAAACAACCAACTTCACACAGCTTGTGATACCCACTATAATTACACCTGGCCAGTGGTAGTGGTTAAAATGCCAGGAGAGATTTCCAAGCCAACACACATCCCTCATTCTTATATTGAATTGTATAATTTACAAAGACACGCTTTCATACGATGAAATGCTCATCTCCACTCATATATTATTTTAAGTTATAAACTACAATCTACATTCTTTTGTGTTTCGCTTTTGTCAGGTAAATAGTATTTTTTCAATAAACTTTAAAATTTCTTATACTTTCATGATTTTTATGTATTCATTTTATAACTTACCTTACCTAAAATAATTATGTAAAGCCAATGTGAAAGTATCATAGTTTTTCATTTTTCTGGCATCATTTTGAGAAAGAAGGCATAGCATACCTTTTTAAACCAATAATCTAGGGGCGCCTGGGTGGCTCAGTCGGTTAAGTGTCCGACTTCAGCTCAGGTCATGATCTCGCGGTTCGTGAGTTCAAGCCCCGTCAGGCTCTGTGATGATGGCTCAGAGCCTGGAGCCTGTTTCAGATTCTGGGTCTCCCTCTCTCTCTGACCCTCCCCCATTCGTGCTCTGTCTCTCTCTGTCTCAAAAATAAATAAATGTTAAAAAAAAAATGTAAACCAATAATCTAGAGCTATTGTACTTTTCAAAAAAAAAGTATTTAAAGATTAGCCTAAGCTATCAAATTCCTAGAAGAAAACATAGGGTAGAACTTTCATGACATTGGATTTGGCAAAGATTTTTTGGATATGACACAAAAAGCAAAGGCAACTAAAGCAAAAATAGGTAATGTGACTACATCAAACCTAAAAACTTCTGTGTATCAAAGGACACAACAGAGTGAAAAGTCAACCTATGAAATGGAGTAAATATTATATCCAGAATATATAAAGAACTCTTATTGAGAACAAAAATAACCCAATTTAAAAACGGGCAAAGGACTTGAAAAGGCATTTCTCCAAAAATGATACACAAATGGCCAATGAGCATATGATGTTCAACATCACTAATGGGGAAATACAAATCAAAACCACAATGAAATATCATACCCATTAGGATGGCTACTATTTTAAAAAAAAAAAGAATAGAAAACAAGTGTTGGCAAGGATGTAGAGAAATTAGAAAACTTGTACACTGTTTATGGGGATGTAAAATGGTGCATCCACTATAGAAACCAATATGGCCATTCCTCAAATACTTAAAAATAGAATTACCAGGGGCACCTGGGTGGCTCAGTCCATTAAGCATCTGGCTCTTGATTTTGACTCAGGTCATGATCTCACAGTTCGTGTGATAGAGACCTACGTCAGGCTCTGGGCTGACAGCGCAGAGCCCACTTGGAATTCTCTCTCTTCCCCTCTCTCTACCCCTCCCTGTTCACATGTGCTCTCTCTCTCAAAATGAATAAACATTTTTAAAAAATAGAATTACCATATAATTCAGCAATCACACTTCTGGGTATACATCCAAAAGCATTGAAAGCAGTATCTCATACAGATATTAGCGTGTCCACGTTCATAGCAGTACTATTCACAATAACCAAGAAGTGGAACCAACTCAAATATCCATTGATGGATGAATGGATAAACAAAATATGGTATATATATATACAATGGAATCTTATTCAGTCTTAAAAAGGAAATCCTGTCATATGCTACAACATGGATGAACCGTGAGGATATTGTATTAAGTGAAATAAGCCAGTCACAAAAAGACAAATAAATAGTTGACCCAACAAGAGGGTTTGAACTGCACAGGTTCACTTACACACAGATTTTTTTACATAAATACAGTATAGTACTCTAAATTTATTTCTCTTCCTTATGATTTTCTTCATAACATTTTCTTTTTCCTAGCTTACTTTATTATAAGAATACAGTATATAATATATATATGTATATATATATATATATATGCGTTAATTGACTGTTTATGTTATTGGTGAGGCTTCCAGTTAACGGTAGGCTATTAGTAATTAAGTTTTTAGGGAGTCAAAAGTTATATGTAGATTTTTGACCATGGGAGTTGGTGCCACAACCCCCATGTTGCTCAAGGGTCAACCGTAATGTATGATTTTACTTGTATGAAGCATCTAAAGTAGTCAACCTCTTCCCAATCCTCAGTTCTTGATTTCTGGGGTTTCCTTCCAAGCAATGGTATGAGAGTAGACTTAGGTAAGACAACGTTGGACCAAACAGTGACTCCAACCAAGTCAGCAAGGGAAGCAAGCCCAGCGGGATCCTGAAGCTCTCCAAGCCTACAATCTCATTCTTTGTATGTGATAAGGTCTCCCAAATTTCTCTCCAGATTTCACCCCAAGGTGGAGCTAATTACATCCAGTGTAGTTCCACTTCTCATTACTTTTTACCTCATTTTCTTTGTCATTTTCTCATTGCACTATGATTAATTTAAGGAACCTAAAATGGGGCCCGAAGCTAGAACATTCAGAAGTGAATATGACATTTAACTCTACCTGGTTGGATTCTCACTAGGTTCTTGACCACCTTCACTTTTATAATCAAAAGAGTAACAGTTTTGCAACACTTTTTGTGTGTTCTTTCCCTGTTGTGTCTCTCTCCAACAAGTCCTAGATAATGTGTACATTTGTTCCTGAATTTACCAGCTAACCTTGATGGCTTTCCCTCCTTTATGCAATAATTTTACTTCATAGTTCCCCTAATGAACAGTATTTCCAAGTTAACATAATAATAACCTAAGGAAAATGCTAAGCATAGAAAGAAAAATAAGGTAGGTTCTTTGCCGTTAAGGAATTCTTAGTCTAACAGCAGAGACAAACATATAAACAAGCAACTATAATAAAGTCTGAAAAGGAACTAGTAGAATGCACACACAGAGGAAGAAGTGATTAACCAGTCTCAGGGAGCAGGAAAGGAAGTGAAGGCCTGGTGGCATGAAATAGCATGTGAGGTTCAGGAACTGCAGTAGTACAGGCCTACCAAAGCAAGACCTACAAGAAAACAGATGACAACAGTGAAAGCTGAATAAGTAGAAAGAGGCCAGACTATGAAGATTCTTCAGTATCATGCTAAGTAAGGCATTTCCACTTCCTATAATAAACAACAAGACCCATTAAAAAGGCCTCATTTTGAAAAAATTTTGTGGAATTAGTATATAATCCTAAAAATAGGTTTGGGTTATGTATGTATCATTCCTTAGTCTTAACAGTTTATTGTGTTTTATAGTTTTTCAGTTTCTTTGTTTGGGAATAGGATTGGTAGTTAAAATACTGAAAAAGTAAAACCAAATGAAAAATGGAGTGATTACCACACAACCATGCAGCACAGGGCCATTGGACGATGAAACCCAGCTGTTTCCTTCCAAGTCCAGGATCATTCTCTTTGGTATTTCTCCCTATACATAATGATGAAGAAAATACATTGTAAATAAATTAGTGTAAATCCAAAAGAGAAAGAGACTTTGAGGAAATGGATTTGTCTTAATTTATATAACTTTTCTATTGAGGGTTTTGTTTTCTTTTGAGACATTAGCATGAATACCCAGTGTTGGTGGATTTTTGTTCCATCATGTGGATACTAATGTAAGAGGAGGCGGGGATTTCCTCTGACCCTTCTTCCTTGTCTGCTTCTTAACCTCCTTCCTGTGTTCAGGCAATTAGCCACAGTTCTTTGCTGGACACCACGGACCAGACTGACAGATGGCCAACAGCCAGCACTGCTCACGCCTGGAATTAAGTTCATATGTTTTGTTACTCAAGAGATAATCAAATTGCAAGTCTATTTCTAGATATTAATTCTTGACTGCTCTCCAGAAAATGAGAAATATTGTTACAGAAAATAAAGTTGTTTTTTAAATTAACTCTGCTTGAACATTAAGAACATTTTCCCAAATAACACACCCTTTTCCTTTTACTAAAAACTGTACACATTGTACTACTCTATAGTTTTTACAGATTTGCCCTGCTTCAAAGGGCTAGTTCAATTACATATCACTATTGCATTTAAAATTCCTCTACATTTAGAAATTTTACTTATTAAAAAGAACTTCTGGATACCTTTCCTTTTTCAATTCCTCCACTCAAGCATTTATATAAGTGCCGTAAGAAATCATGTTTAGTTTCCCAAAGAAACTTAAAACATGATGCTTTTGAAGTGTAATTGGAAATAAGAAAGCACTTGACAATTTTTGCTTAACAAATATCATTACACCCACTTTTAATTTTTAGATTTGTATGAATTTTATTTTTTTTTTTCAACGTTTATTTATTTTTGGGACAGAGAGAGACAGAGCATGAACGGGGGAGGAGCAGAAAGAGGGAAACACAGAATCGGAAACAGGCTCCAGGCTCCGAGCCATCAGCCCAGAGCCTGACGCGGGGCTCGAACTCACGGACCGCGAGATCGTGACCTGGCTGAAGTCGGACGCTTAACCGACTGTGCCACCCAGGCGCCCCTGAATTTTATTTTTAACAAAGGATGCATCTCAGCTTGTTCAGAATTATAAAAACAATTGGCTCTCCAACTTAATATTGTTTCTCATATGTATGTCTTCCATATCTATTAATGGAATACCGCCACTCAAAATGAAATTCTAAAAAATAAAGCTGCCTTAATTGAAAAAGTAAATATAAGGCATTTCTTACCTTATCAATAAGACATATTGGTACTATTACATATTTACCAGCTTATAAGGTTACTTTTGCTTTTTTCTGAAATTAATTTAGAAAACATATAATACATGTTAGTGTAACTTTGAGATTAAGTCACATGGATATGCTTTCCATTCATTAATTATTGTCACACATAGATAGAAGTAACATATAATTCAATTTTATAAATGTGCGATTTCTCATTGCATTTGGTATTTCAGCCTCGCCAAACCCAGAAGTCATCAAGATAAATTCAATTCCGGATATAGTAACAAAAGTTGAAGACTACTATCTTAAAGGATATATTGTTGGGGCTATTCATCCTGTTATACAACCTGTGGGGCAGCGAAAACACCTACCTGCAAGTTACCTGTACAGGGTAGTGCTATTGCGCTTGAAGTTAAGGTAAGCCTAGTGTTCAAGGAAACAGACTAAGAAGCTGTCGAGACAGTTTTCTTTGGTTAAAAGAAAAGAAAGTTTGAACGTAATGATGGGGAATAAAGGATATTTAGGGGGGTTGGTTGAGAGCACATTTTCTAGTGGTTAAACCTGGAATGAAAGAAGGAAACTTACACCTCCCTCCTTTTTAAAACTCTTCCTTGATTTTAGCCCCTTGCAGACAAATGGGTCCTAGATGAGGATGTCGGTGAACAAAGGAAAAGGAAGATAGACTCAAGAAGCACCTAGAAGCTTCAACAGATGAGGGAGTAGTTGTCAGCTACAAGTCCTGTCACTGGGCTAAAAGAGATGACTGGACCAATGAAGTCCACTTTCACTGAGTGTTTTTTTTTAACTGTCCTATACTATTTTAATAATAGTGGCAACAGAAACTAGCTCTACCTTCTAAGCAGTTTACAGCAGAAAGGCCTACATGCCGAGTTCTCACAAATTGATAGACTTCAGCCTTTTCAAAAAAAAAAAAAGGGGGGGTGTAAAGACCATCCATTTTAGTTCATTTTTTTTCACTTTTTTTGGTAGCTGCTTTCCCAAATAATACTGCAACCATTTTTGCCAGCCTAGCTTGTAAGTTTGATAGTTTTCAAAATACAGTTGTCCTTTCCAGTGAGAGTGAAAATAACCAAATTAAGTCTTTGATTAACACATTAAATTTTTTTTTTTAATTTTTTTTTCAACATTTATTTATTTTTGGGACAGAGAGAGACAGAGCATGAACGGGGGAGGGGCAGAGAGAGAGGGAGACACAGAATCGGAAACAGGCTCCAGGCTCTGAGCCATCAGCCCAGAGCCCGACGCGGGGCTCGAACTCACGGACCGCGAGATCGTGACCTGGCTGAAGTCGGACGCTTAACCGACTGCGCCACCCAGGCGCCCCAACACATTAAATTTTTTCACCCAACTCTTTAACTATATCAATCCATCCCAAATACCAGGGTAAAAACTGTTTTCTCTTTTTAGTGATGGCCTAACAATTGATTGCTTTAACTAAGAAAGGGCTAAGCAAAGAAAGATGCTTTTAAGGGACACTGCCTGCTACTTATCAGTATAAACCTATTTATACATGTCTGAGAGGGTTTGTACAGGCGTCAGCTTTCACCATTAGATCAAATTTGATCAGATACTCCAAACATTATTAAATAAACATGTCATTTTATCACACAGTAGCAACACTTCTAATTATAAATCTTATAAACCATGTATAAATTATTTTGTCTTTTTTAACATTATTTCAAATGGACTTAGTAGTGCTCTGACAAGGCTAAGAATAAGCAAGGGGTAATGATCAGAAAAGAAAAAAAAGGAAGAAGACAGGACAATATTTATTTGCATTTAAAGAGGACCTTGACTAACGTTTTTGTACAATAATCAAGTGTAACAGTGATCTAAAATCATTTCTTACAATTTTTATTAAAACCGCTGATGAATTTTTTCTTCCATATCAAATCATAAATTATATTAATAGAGGTTTATATTAAGAAAATTCAACCTGTTTTTCTGGTATTTTCACCTAAGAAGACCACCATTATTAATTTGAAATAACAACAACAACAAAAAGATTGCCTTGACCTTATTTGTGAGTTGCTCTCTCAATTTTACATAAGCATATTAGCTGAAAATGATCAATTGACTTCCAACCATGGGTATATTCTCTGTTACAGCCTGAAGCATTCGGCAGCATCCAGTGGACAAAGACGCCCAAGGCTCGTGATTGAGGAATGTCCTCTAACTTATGAGACACAAACAAATGACATAGCAAAAGAACTGATAGAAAAGGTACTAAATGTATAGATTTTTTCATGTGATATTGAGAAATATTTGGTATTTCTTCTTCATCAATCTCCTTTCTTACCTTAAAAAGAACAGGGAAATGGTAAGTGACTTATTCTTCCAGAAGTTAAAACATATTGAAGCACACATACTAAATTATACAGAGTTAGAAACAGAAATACAGGTCAATGGAAATGCCAGCAATAAATTTACACACCTATAAGAAGTTTGGAAACAAACCCGATGAAATGAAGTGGGAAAACAACCATCCCAGAAAACAACTGCTGGGGAAATGGACAATTTGCTCTGTGTAAAATAGACTCCACACATTTCAAATAGATAAAGAGGTAAATTTTTTTACCTATAAAAAATACAGAAGAAAACAAAACAATAGACATACTGAATTATGAATAAGTTGAGGAGTTTGAGAATATAAATATAATTTATATATTAGGAAAATTAAGCTTAAAAAAAAGAATCAGTGTGGGGGGGATCTCCAATAAATGTGTCTTAGGGGGGTTTATTTAAAAAATATATAAAATGAATACAAATGCATGAAAGTAATGTCCAGTCTTGAATGGACAGACAGAATCCACAGACAGCAAAATACAAAAGGAAACATAAACTACAGACCTTTGGAAAAAGGTTCAACCTAACTAATAATTTTTAAAATAAAACTGAGATTTAATACCTCACCAATATTAACTGAGAAATTAAATTGAAGGTATTAAATCCAGTGTTGGAAGAGCTTTAAGAAAACATTCATATATCGCAACTGGCATCGTAACAAATTAGTACATTGTAGTAAATTAGGTGTTTCTGGATATCAATCTGGTCAAAAATATCATAAATACCATTTTATTCTTTAGAATCTATTCCAAGAAATTAATTGAAAAGGGGAAAAGTCATTTTTATACAAAGTAGTTTAATCAACAGTGAATAAAGAGGCCAGATTCTCAGTAATTGGAAAATTGAGGAGATAGCAATGGTACATCCATACAATGCAATATTTTATGGGGACTAAACGTAACAACTATATTGACTGTTGAGATAGAAAAGTCTATACAAAATAACTTAATTGAAACTTAAACAAAAAATTGAACACTATATGCATATTGATTAAGACCAAGAAAAATTATACATTTATAAGTGTTCTAAATTGATGGGATTTTAAGTGAAAGTTTTTCTTAGTTGCATTGATACATTTGTAGGGTTTAGGTTTTATTTAAATGAATATAGCCAAAAACCTAAGGCATTTCCTTTCAAGTAAGAAACTGAGTTTGCTCACTGTTTCTAGTATTGGTCCCAAGGTTTAAGTGGTCTTGTGTGTCAGAGTGTCTATAATTTGTATATAGCCAGTTAGAGCTGCTAATGATATTTCTTTTAGGTATAAAGTCACCATTCAATAAGGTTTTCAGGAACAGTCTTTGAGACTAGATTTTTATAAACAAGCTACGCATACTGTTTACTACTACTAATCTGGGAGATTTCAACTTGTTTTTCTGGGAATAAATCCCCTCCAGAAAATTTCTTTTGAAACAAAAATGTAACTACTAATTTAGTCTTAATAGATCACCATCAGAGCCCTTGTTTTGCATTTGACTTCCTGGACACAGTTAAAGATCTATTTAAACAGGAAAGTACTGTTATTTCAGCAATCAGAGTAATGGATTTATTTCATGAAGAGAAAAGCTTCAGGAAACATAGCACATGAACTATTTGAACATTGCCCCATGTATGAACAAGAGCAGTAGATGAATGCCAAATGTTATTTTGGAACAATTGTCTTACATAAAGAGTTTATTGTTGAATAGCTAGATTTTAAGTCATTTTAACTTTAGATCAATATTTGTTTTATGTTTAAAATTAGATTTATAAGTGTTTTTCTCAGGATTTTAAAGTAAAAATAACATTTAAAAATATCAATCTTCCGATTTAAAAACTGGAAAAAAAACATTAACACTATATTTGTTACCAAATGTTTCCAGCTAAAACTTTCTAGTAATAGAAAAAGCCTTCTGTACTTTTTCACCCAAATCAACTAATAAGACCTAGAGAAAGAACTGACAATAAATTTACCCATTTCCACCTGCAGAAACGTCATGCCCCCTTACCACTCCCTCTTCTCTCCCAGGACACCTGATATAAAGGACAATTTGTGGTTATTTTTAAGGCTTCATGCATTGTTACAATCTCAACATGTCCATGTATAGGAGTAAATGATACTGCATCAGCACTATCCTCTGTCTTAGCTCCACACACCTATCACCTCTGTCCTGCCCAGAATTTTCCTTGCTGACTAGAGCTGAGTGACCATTGTCCCCTTTGAGTGGGTAATGCTCTCTGGTTTTGCCCCAGTTCTTCCCGGCCCTTTTCATTGCAACCTCCATCATAACTCTTTCTTCCCCTCTCAGGGTAGCATTTAAAACATGTAGTTTAGGGGCGCCTGGGTGGCGCAGTCGGTTAAGCGTCTGACTTCAGCCAGGTCACGATCTCGCTGTCCGTGAGTTCGAGCCCCGCGTCGGGCTCTGGGCTGATGGCTCAGAGCCTGGAACCTGTTTCTGATTCTGTGTCTCCCTCTCTCTCTGCCCCTCCCCCGTTCATGCTCTGTCTCTCTCTGTCCCAAAAATAAATAAACGTTGAAAAAAAAAAATAAAAAACAAATAAAAAATAAAAAAAAATAAAACATGTAGTTTAAATGTTTAAAACAGTGGCCAAATTAAAGATGTTGCTATTTCTTCATTTTTACTTATTTAACCAATACTTATAGAGCACCTGTAGGTACAAAACGGCACAATACAAAAATGATTAAGATACAGTCCTTGCCCTCAAAAGAATTGCCAGCTTAACAGAGGAGAAAGACGTGGACACAAAAAGAACAAAGAAATGTAGAAAAAGCAGAGAAAGGGGAAAGTGCTGGGCATGAAAATGACCTTCTTAACGTCTCAAATTATTTCACTGGCATTATGTAATGTTCTTCTGAATCCTATTCTTTAACTTATACGATTGAATCTGATCATGTGCATTTGGCCTGATAGGAGACAATAGCATCAAGATATAAATAGATGGGAAAGCTTCCTAAGAGTGAATTGGGCCTATGCATTACATGCACACATTTGTCAAGAATTAGACTTCTAACATTTTTCTTTACCCACATCAAGCAAGCAATTCTGTATGTTTTTGCTTTTAATGTTTTTGCTTTGTTAATTAAGATGTATTTAGTCATGTTATTTTTGAGGATTTCTTGGAATAGCTTTTAATTTTGCCTCAGTGGGAGAAACCATTGTTAACAGGCCTGCAAAAATCATGTTATAGAATTATTAGTTCTTCTCAAATAGTAACCTTTTGAAGAAAAATGATTCCTGTTTTCATAATTTCTTTTATTTTTATTTTTTAATTTTATTTGAGAGAGAAAAAGAGTACGTGAGAGCAGGGAAAGGGGCAGAGGGAGAGAGAGAAACAGAGAGAGAAAGAGAGAGAGAGAGAGAGAGAGAGAGAGAGAGAGAATCTCAAGCAGGCTCCATGCTCAGTGCAGAGCCAACACAGGGCTCAATCTCACGACCCTAGGCTCATGACCTGAGCTGAAATCAAGAGTTAACGCTCAACAGACTGAGCTCCCCAGCAACTGCTTCTTTTCATAACTTCTAAAGTGTATCAGTTCTATTTAAAGAAGTCACAATAATACTGTGACATAGACTTAAGAGTAGTGCTTTGTTACAGGTTATTAATTTGTTTATGAATGGGTCTTTAGTTAGTGGTCAATTTACTTCATCTTATGAATTTCCTTAATAAACCTACAGGTTAACTGATAAAGTGATCAATGTAAATGAATTTTACATCTTGCTCTACAATCTCTTTTAGATTAATATAGCTGCTAAGAGAGGAATGAAATTTGTTGGATTCATATCACAGCCTTATTCACCACTTAAATTCTGCAACGGAACCAACCATGATGAAGACGTAGAGTCAGTGCTGCCTCTGAGACACACTTCAGATGAAAACTGTAAAAGTTGGAATGAAGGAACATTAAGTGGGCAATCATCTGAGAGTGGAATTGAGGAAGAACTTCATCATGAAAGTGAACAGTGTCAGATGGACCGAGATGGCAGCCCCAGTTATTCTAAATCAAGAAAGGGAGAAGGTAATAGACAAGATGAGTAGAAATAGTATATTAGTTTCAATTTAGTAAAAATAAGTTTTTGAGGGGTTTTTTGGAAATACGAGACAAAGTAAACTTCTGAAACTACAAAAACCGAGTAAACTAATATATTACCCTCATCTTGATTTTGTTTTTAATTATTACAGCCAGAAATAAGGTAAGGCAGTTTTTCAAACAGTTGTCCCTGGCATGGTCATACAATACCATCCATATAATGAAACTTGGTTTGAAACTTGGTTTCCATTTAGTCATTCACCAACTCCCCTATAAAATGGAGGCTATGCGTGTATACAGAAAGTGATTCTATAAATATAGAAAGCTGTTCTGATTTATGTTTGTTTTTTGCAAACAGAGTGTGAGAATTTTAGTTTTGGCCTTTCCCATTTCATGGATGGTTTTTGCCCTTGAAGTTAATTGACTTTCTTTGATGATCAATTAGAATATGAAAATGCACACCATGATGAAGCAATTAATATAACAATAGTGCCTGCATCCGAAAATAACTTTAACCATTAGTTTTAGTCTACTTTGCCAACTAGCAACTCTTCCCAAGCAATTGAGACCACTTCCTCATGCATCTTGGCCTGCTCAGAGTTTTCTGATATCTTTGCAAGCATGCTTTTAAAAAGCACTGTTAAAGAAAGTCAAAGACTATGCACACCTTACAGTTAAGAGCTCTGGAGTCAGGCTGCCTCAATTTCTTTATATAAAGGGAGTTGTTGTGAGAAGTAGCTAAAAGATAAGGCACTGTGCCTGCCACAGAATAAATTCTGGAGTAAGTTAGCTGCTATTGGCTGACCTTTTGATCTAAGTTAGTGCTGAAGCTGTACCCACTCGTGTAACACACTGCACATATGCACATTGGCTTTCTGGTTGTAATGAGATGTGCTCAATCTCGTGAGCCTAGCAGAGACCCATCAACCATGGTCAGCACAATCCTTTTATGAACAAGCCAGGAGCACTTCCTAATTCATCGTCTCATCCTTCCTCACTGCCACCACCACCCTCCTATTTTCTCACTAGCTCCTTAACTAACAATCACCCTGATTTTCTTGCAGTGTAAAAATTTTAAGAGCAAGAGTTGTTGAAGATATGGTCAGAGACCTATTTGCTATCTGCTACCCAGTGCTGCCTTTAAACTCCCGCTGGTTCCCATCCCGACCTGATTAGATCAAGTGTCTATTTCTAGCCCTTTTAAATTCTAAATCCAAAATGATGCCTACTTAATTTAATTAACAATCTTTATTTTTTTAATTTTATTTTTATATATTTTTAAATTTACATCAAATTAGTTAGCATATAGTGCAACAGTGATTTCAGGAGTAGATTCCTTAATGCCCCTTACCCATTTAGCCCACTTCCCCTCCTACAACCCCTCCAGTAACCCTCTGTTTATTCTCCATATTTATGAGTCTCTTCTGTTTTGTCCCCCTCCCTGTTTTTATGTTATTTTTGTTTCCCTTCCCGTATGTTCATCTGCTTTGTCTCTTAAAGTCCTCATATGAGTGAAGTCATATGATTTTTGTCTTTCTTTGACTAATTTCACTTAGCTTAATACCCTCCAGTTCCAACCACATAGTTGCAAATGGCAAGATTTCATTCTTTTAGATTTCCGAGTAATACTCCGTTGTATATATATACCACATCTTCTTTATCCATCCATCCATCGATGGACATTTGGGCTCTTTCCATACTTTGGCTATTGTTGATAGTGCTGCTAGAAACATGGGGGTGCTTGTGTCCCTTCAAAACAACACACCTGTATCCCGTGGATAAATGCCTACTAGTGCAATTGCTAGGTCGTAGGGTAGGTCTATTTTTAGTTTTTTGAGGAAACTCCATACTGTTTTCCAGAGTGGCTGCACCAGCTTGTATTCCCATAATTAACAATCTTTAGATTCCACTTTCTAAATAGTTTAAATCCTATACTTCTTTATAATTTGTCTATGGCAAAAGTTCTTAATTTGAGCTGTCAGGGTGGGGTAGTGGCAGCATGAGGTTGGGGGAGATACACACAAAAGATCTCTTGGAGAATCTGGTGAAATCCACAGAGACTCAATCCAGAAAAATGCACATGTACATACATACCCCCAAATACTTTTGCAATGCAAGTGGGTTTAGACTTCCTAAACACAACCATAGAGGTGGGTCCCTACACCACTCCCCAAGTTAAGAATTTGTCAACTTATGGAAAAGTAGAAGATATGACCTAGCAGTTCCATGTCTACATATGTATGCTAGAAGCTACTCCCACATGTGTGTCTAAGGAAACATGAACAATGTTTATAATGACAAAAATTTGGAAGCAATGTATATGTCCATCAACAGGAGAATAATAAACTAGAATATTATGTAGCAGTTTAACTAAATGAATAAGGTCTACATGTATTAATTCCACTCCAAGCAAAAGAAAATCAATTTATAGATGCATATATACAACACCACTTTTTAAAAGTTTTTTAAACTTCAGAATATCATATATATATATATATATATATATATATATATATATATATATATGGGTATATAAAAGTATATTAAAAGAATAAAAGCTTGCATGAGAATAATAAACACCAAATTATTATAGTACCTATTTCGGGAGAACTGGATTAGGGAAGACTACATAGTAAGCCTCAACTACATCCATTTCTCATTTTCTGGAAAAATAAATCTGAAGGAAACATGGCACAAGGTCAACATTTAATAAAACTGAGTGGTGGGTAATTTTATTATTCTCCATGTTTGTCTGTATGCCTGAAATACATGAGTAATAAAAAAATGTTTAGGAATCTTTTCAATAAGTAAATTAATAAATAAATAATCTTTCTTCTTTTCGAATGCCTATCCCTAGAAAACAAGTTGTATACAATATTCAATGTTTTCGATGATGAATCAACCTGCTGGACCTATCAGGAAGGCATCCTGTCAATGAAAGTAACAAGAAAAGGATCTGTCATTAGTACACTTGATGCCGATTGGCTGGAGTTAACTACATTTTATTATAAACAAGGCTTGTCTTTAATTGATTCTTTTGTATGCTGGGAAACATCTAAAGGTATGTTTTATATTATAATATATTGATACCTAAAAAATTTGACCTGTATCAGAGTTGGTGGAAATGTTTTTGCCTCTCAAGATCTATGGCTAAAAGGACAGGAATTATTCATTATTATTCATTATAAAATTCATTAGGAATTAGATTCCAATTATTACACAGCTATGCAACTTTAATTTAAAAGCTTAGGGGCTCCTGGGTGGCTCAGTCGGTTAAGCGTCAGACTTCAGCTCAAGTCATGACCTCACGGTTTGTGAATTTGAGCCCTGTGTTGGGCTCTGTGCTGACAGCCTGAAGCCTGCTTCTGATTCTGTGTCTCCCTCTCTCTGCCCCTCCCTTACTCATGCTCTGTCTCTCTCTCTCTCTCTCTCTCTCTCTCTCTCTCTCTCTCTCAAAAATAAATAAACATTAAAAATTTTTTAATAAATAAAAGCTTAATCATAGTGTGTGGTAGAATTGTAATGTTTGCTGTCGGGTTGTAACTATCAGGTATAGACAAACCACTGTGTGATTGACTTGTAGGATTTTCCAAATAAGATGTATTATAACAGTCCAGTTAAAAGGATTATAGTGGCATTTGATAGTTACTATCCAAACTTATTACACTATCCTAGATTTGGACACTATCTAACCATGTACTCCAATCTATATCTGACTCTAAAATTTGTATAGAAAAATAATCTTTGGTTTAGAAAATGATATTTACTCTATTTTTTCTGCGTTCCCTTTATCTTTCAACTTCCCCTAGTCTTCCTCTTTTAGTTACGATGGGATATGTAATCACTCATGTCTATCACAAAAACAACAAAACTTTCCAAAAGTTACTTTCTAGGGAAAGTGTTCTAAAAAAGAAATTGGTGGGGCGCCTGGGTGGCACAGTCGGTTGGGCGTCCGACTTCAGCCAGGTCACGATCTCGCGGTCCGTGAGTTCGAGCCCCGCGTCGGGCTCTGGGCTAATGGCTCAGAGCCTGGAGCCTGTTTCCGATTCTGTGTCTCCCTCTCTCTCTGCCCCTCCCCCGTTCATGCTCTGTCTCTCTCTGTCCCAAAAATTAAAAAAAAAAAAAAAAAAAGTTGAAAAAAAAAAAAGAAAAAGAAATTGGTGCTGGGGCACCTGGGTAGCTCAGTTGGTCAAGCCTCCAACTCTTGATTTCATCTCAGGTAATGATCTCACAGTTGTGAGATTGAGCTCTGCACCAGGCTCTGCCCTGGGCATGGAGATGCCTTAAGATTCTTTCTCTCTCTCCCTCAGTCCCTTCCCCACCCACGTGCACATGCACATACCCACGCTGTCCCTCTCTCTCTCTCAAAAAAAAAAAAATAAAAATAAAAAAGAGATTAGTGCTAAAAGAAAAGAAAAACTCATAGTTAGGAGACTTGAAAATTGCATTAGGAAGGATGAAGGCTATGAAAACCAAGATTAACTAACTTAATGAGGCTAGAGGAAAGAACAAAAAAAGCAAATGAGATATCAGTATTCTTTACTATCATTAAGTCAGCCTATTACATCAGGGATACCTTAACTAATAGAACTAAAGACTTTGGATGATTATTTAAAATTATCAAGAGTCATGGTCCAAAATTATCAAGAGTCATGGTCCAATAAGTTCTTTTAACCAGCAACCAAGAGTAAGGATCTAGCCTATTGAAGTACCCAGAAATATGGCCCATAGCACACAGCCCATAGCAGGTGCTCAATAGATAGTTCTTAGTATTTTGGTTATTGGAAACTTCCTCCAAGGTGGTCTTTTATGGAAACAGCAAAATCTTTTTTCTTTAAGTTTATTTATTTTCAGTATATGTGCTGCCGAAGCAAGCACAAGTTTATTTATTTTCAGAAAGAGACAGAGAGTGCATGCATATGCACAAACAGGGGAGGGGGAGAGGGGAAGAGAGGGAGAGAGAGAGAGAGAGAGAGAGAGAGAGAGAGAGAGAGAGAAAATCCCAAGCAGGCTCCATGCTCAGCACAGAGCTCGACTCCAGTCTTGACGCCACGAACTGTGAGATCATGACATGAGTGAAACCGAGAGGCAGACACTCAACCAACTGAGCCACCCAGGCACCCATAAGATTTTTATTTTTAAGTAATCTCTACACCCAACATGGAGCTCAAACTTACACCCCAAGATCAAGAGTCTCATGCCCTTACTGACTGAGCCATCCAGGTGCCCCAGAAACAGCAAAATCTAAGAAGAGCATGGACTTTAGGATGAGATAGACCAGGGTTTGAATCCTATGTTCTCTACTTATTAGCTGGGTGATCTGGGGAAGTGAGGTGAGCTCACTGAGCCACAGTTTCCTATAAGGGGAGTAAAAATACTCCCTACTTTACTGCTATAAAAATTTGATAAGATGCAGTATGTACAAAATGACTCCCACAGTGCCTTACCCACTGTCAGAGCTTATTTTCTGGAGTTAGTTTTCTTTCCTGCAGCTTGTGTGCAGCTACAGTACTTTTAGTATGGATCAGCTACTTGGAGGTCAGTTTATGCTTCATATATTTCTTTCTCTCTTCTCTTCCTTCCAAAAAGTCTAGTTGGAGACATTTCAAAATTTGGTTTGTTACTAACTGCTGAAGGAAAAACTAGAAATACTCCTTTCAGAATCTCTTTCAGGCATCCCCGCCTTGGGCCTTGCCTGATGAAAATAAAATTAGCCACAGCAGTTGCCAGCCAGAGACTCTGTAGAGCTTTTGTTCATAAAGCCTCAGAAGCTATTTAGAGAGCTCAGGGGAGAATCTCTCCCTCTCAGCAGCTCTGGAATGTCTCATTAGACATTTTACATTGCAGGCCATGCCAAGCCCCTAATGAGCCACCACGGTCTGTGGGGCCTGGCAATTGGGTGTGTCTCTTGGGACTTCCCTAGGAGTACACAGGGAAGCTGCAGAGGGGAAATTGTGACCCATGCCTGTGTCACTGTGAGAAGCAAGTCGGAGGAAGCAGGGCTGAATTGGTTGCTTTGTTCTGGGACATTTGATGCCTGACAGTAAAGCACATAGGGGACAATGCGTATTTTGTTTTGTCTTGCTTCCATCCTCTTCCAAAATATTGTCAGAAGTCAGCTCACCATGAGAAATAAAAGCACAAAACCAGACATTGCACAGACATTTAAATACCTTACTCCACAAATCTCATAAAATACCTTCTTCTAGAAAGAGGGAGAGGGGGAACAAAACTTTTACCAAGTTTTCTCCTTTGGTGGGGTCACGGTGGAGAGGTTATAAGGACTGTGAAATTCCTCTTCAGTGCCCTTTCCCACGCACTCTCAAAGCCTTCTGCTTCAAAAAGCCCCACAGGAGAGGTACCCAGCGGCCGTCTTGCTGTTCTTGCAGCCTGAGGGTTCCCACTGCAATGGTTTCCTGTATCTGACATTCTCCAGCATTGTTGGGTCCTCACCAAACCGGTCCTCTGCTGGAATCACTGCACACGCACAGGGGCTTGCACTATAGGGCAAAGAACTCCAACTGGTCCCAATTGAGCCAACAAAGATAAAACACTTTATTTTACCAGAATGTGTAGAATCCAGTGGGCAGTTGGCATGGGTTGAGATGAGCAGCTTTGCCAGCTGATATAAAACACACACACAGACACAGACACAGACACAGACACATATACACCCATGAGTCCCCATACTCTACTAGCCTACAAATGCCCCCATTATCCTCAGAGAATAGTCTCTTCCCACCTTTAGTTCACCCACATCTTAAGGCTACATTTTGATTTTTTATGAATTTTTAGACTTAAGTTCATTTCGAACTCTTCACCCCTATAAAAATGCTTATGTGAGCTGACAGGCAAGGTGTATCAGAATGAGGAGTGAGGTAGAGTACTGACAAAGAAAATGTATTTATTCACCACAAATATGTGTATGCCAGGCCCTATGCCAGGCACTGGATTTACAACGATGAGCAAAATGGACATCTTCCCTACTCTCAAAAAGCTGGCCCTGTGGCATCAGGCAGTCAGGCGGTAATGGGTACAGAAACATATGTATCTAATTTCAAACTGGAGAAAAGTGTTGTGACATTACCTAACACCATATTGTAAGGAGGGATCAGGAGGTCCCGCCTGACAAGGCACCAATCACACTGAGACTGGAAAGCCAGCATTCTAGAGCCACAGGCAGACCGTTCTAGGCAGAGGAAACACCCCCAGATGTACAAAAACCCCAGGGCAGGAAAGAGGAACAGGGAAAAGGTCTGTGTGCTGGAGCAGGGTATGAAGAGAGAATGGCTCCATACAAGGTAGAAGTGGTAGGCAGCAGCCAATCTTATAAATAATGCAACAAGAGCTAACATGTATTTGTACTTACTATACACCAGCATTGTTCTAAGCACTTTAAATTTATTAACTCACTTAATCCCACAGCAACCCTGTGGGGTTGGTATGATTATTCCTCTTTTGTAGATGAGGAAGCTGAGGCACAGAAATATTTTAAAATGTGCCCATTTTCATGCAATTAGAAAGTGGGGCAGGGGGCACCTAGGTGGAGTGTGTGCTCCTAAGCAAAAACTTTAAACATCCTGCCAGGATTTTTATTCCAAGTCATTCACTGAAGATTTAAAAAGGGAGTTATGGAGGTGCCTGGGTGGCTCAGTCAGTTAAGTGTCTGACTTGGGCTCAGGTTATGATCTCACATTTCATGAGTTTGAGCCCTGTGTCAGGCTCTGGGCTAACAGCTCAGAGCCTGGAGCCTGCTTCAGATTCTGTGTCTCCCTCTCTCTCTGTCCCTCCCCCACTTAGGCTCACTTTCTCGCTCTCTCTTTCAAAAATAAGCATTTTAAAAAATTAAATAAATAAATAAATAAATAAATAAATAAATAAATAAATAAAAGAGGGAGTTATGACCTGTTATGCATTCTTAAAATAACTTCTTCGGCCTCATTTAGGGAAGTGGATTAGAGAGGGCAAGAGTGGAAGGGGGGGCTGCCATCAAGAGGCTGAGACTTGTTTTGGAGACAGAATGTTCATGAATGAGGTACAAAATGGGAGTCTCCATATTTGCCCTCCAGGCCTACCTCTAGGCAGTTTGATGCCAAAAATGACACATGGACCAAAAATACTAAAATGGAATGTTACCTTTCCTCACATTTACATAAATGCCACTGTCATATGTAGCTGAAATGAATGTGTCAGAGCACATGGCCAGACAAGTAAGCCACTCCCTGAGAATTTGTTAAGCTTGTGCTTCTTAAACCAGGGCCCAAGTACCCTGAGGGTATGCAGCCTTGTGCTAGGGAGTACACAGGTTCAAAGGATAGAATGTCAATATTACTTAATATGGGGAGTTGGAGAATTTACTTTTTTACATAATATATTTGAAAGGAATGCAAATATTGCATGGATTTTAAGATATAAACATTAAGACGTTAAAGAAACCTTATTCTTGCCACAAATCAATTCAAACTGTACTTGGAGACTATCCTTCAAGGGTACAGGTATACTTTCCTTTGCTACTGATGGTATTTGGCTAAAAAAATTAAGAAGCAGTGGGTCAGGTCAATGCTTTGTAACATTTTCATATTATGCACACATAGAAAATGATAAGATAATAAGGCACATGGGTACAAGAAGATAAAGCTTCTCTGAGCAGGAGGGGGCATCCCATATCTTGGCACTTCTGGAAGGGGTTCTCAGAACACCAATGGGCCAAGACATACTGGGTGGGAAGCTCTGCAATATGTACTGTTAAGAAGTGACTCAGTTCTATAGGTGCCTGGGTGGCTCAGTAGGTTAAGTGTCAGACTTTGGCTCAGGTCATGATCTCATGGTTCATGGGTTTGAGCCCTGTTTTAGGCTCTGCTGACAGCTCAGCTTTGGATTCTGTGTCTTCCTCTCTCTGTGTCCCTCTTCTGCTCACACTCTTTCTCTGTCTCAAAAATAAATAAAAATGTTTAAAAATTTTAAAAAAATGACTCAATTCAGGAACAGTTATTAAGTAACCGTTTACAATTATCAACTCATCCATTACCTGGAAGATTTAACACACCAAGCACCCAAACAGCCACTCCCCATGGGACCTTCCCTGACACCCTGCCTCGCCTCCACTTCTGTTAGGGAGAATTTTTCAGGAGATATTAAATACTTTCTCCTGTGTAAGCTTCATTCATCTGTGGCTCTGGGGACTGGCATGGGAGCTAAGAAGGTCAGCCAGGACCTTGGGGGCTCTAAAGTGAGAAGGGAGGGACATAAGTATAATACACGTATAGAAAAGTGCATTAATCTTATGCGTACAGCTGAATAAAAACAAACATTCAAGATATAGAGCATCTCTTTATATATCAGTTATATCTCAATAAAGCTGGGGAGGAAAGAATTCAGAGGGGGAAAAAAAGGTACAGAACATTTCCAACATCCCAGAAGCCACCTCATGACCCTCCCCAGTCAATGTCCTCCCACCCAGAGAAAGCATTATTCTAACGTCCATCCCCATAGATTAATTTTGCCTGTTTTTGAACTTCACATAGGTTGAAGTATACAGTATTTACTCTTTTGTGTCTGGCTTCTTTTCTCAACATAGTTTCTGAAATTCATCCATGTTGCTACATAGCAGTGAGTCTTACTTTTTTATTCTTGTGTGGCATTTTTTGAGTGTACCATGGTTTCATTCTTTTAAACCAAAAGAAATTTAGAAGTACTAAGATATCCCAATATTGAGAATAAGAAAACAGACACAGAGCTACAAAACCACATTGTAATCCCAAAGTAAATAAGAAGCAGATTATAATTAACTACATAATTATCACAGTATATAATTATTTCTAAAATTCATACCCCCTTTCTAAAAAAGGACTTGGGACATACATATTTTTAAAGATGGTCTTGTGAAGCTCTAAACTTACGATAAAAAGATTTGCTTCCACTGGTCACTTTGGTATGACAGTGGACAAGTACATTTAAAGGAAGTGGAACATACACTGTAATTAGAAAACTAACTCTAACTAGTAAATTAAACTTTACTGGGTTTGAGGGAACCAATCTAAACAAGGTAAATTCTTCACGGTATTCTGCCCTAATTGTAAATGATGTAAATAATAATGATGATGATTTTCTCCTAAAGCTTATAGCCTGTTAATAAAAATCAAAACCAAAAATTACATTGAAATTATGTTTGGCTTCTTTATCTTTAAGCTTAATAGATCACTTGAAAATGTTGTAGGCTTTAATTTAGATAAATGTCCAGCAGAGAGACTCTGATGCGACATTGTACTGTATAAAAACCAAACTGTTTAGCCAGCACGTGACCATGGGAAAATTGTCTCCTATTGCAAAATAGGAGACAAAAGAACGTCCATAAAATCAGTTTAGTTTTCGCCAGCTGGTTATTGTCAACTATTCAAGAAAATGTCAGAGAGGCCCTCCCTTAAAACTTCCTTCCCAGCAGGAATTCTTTTGACAATGACTTCTGTTTAGGATTTTCCTGTTACCATTCTTTCATTATTTTTTTAAAAGCATCATTGAGGTAAAGAATTGTTTCGTGTTTATATTTTTTTGAAGTAATCTTACCTCACATTAGTTTGAATATCACACCTATAGTTTCAAGAATATACATTTTTATGTTTTCTCTCCTAATGGTGTAATTAATGTGCATAAACATATAGGTCAGAAACCAAAATTTGATTTCAGGGTGAAGGTCAGTTCCCAGTGCTTTTTAGACTTAGGAAATCCACTTCTCACTGTATGATATTATTTTATCTTGTTTTTGTGTTTGTAGTTTTCATATTTACAGTTTGATTTTAATTCAGTGAAGTACAAAATTGTCTTGACCTTCCCCAAAAAACCCTACAACAATAACAACTCTCAAAGAGGAGGATGTTATTGATTCAGCCAAAACAAGTGCTGATTAATTTATATGCTTTTCTTTCAGCTTCCTAAAAGGGTTATCTAAGGATTTAGATGATCTTAGGAGACACTCAGTATTTGCCACTCTTCTTAATTGCATCCTTTTCCTCACAGGGGACCATTTGCCTAAATCTTTGGAAGGATTCTTTATCTATGAAGAAGAAGGTTCTGGAGTTCCAGGTTCCAGTAGGAAAGGAAATGATGCCATCGTAGTAGAACAATGGACTGTTATTGAGGTAAACTGCAGTTTTCTGACAGTTTAGCTTTACTTTTCTATTTAGTTTTACTTGTTAAAGATCTTCATTGCCTAATACCTGCAGTATCCTTCAAACACATGTTTGTGCAGAGTTCAGAATTTTATCACAAATGCATAAACAAACTGTATAGATTTGTGAAAAGGTGATTTCCTTTACTCCATGTTCAACTCCGTGATAAGATAGTAAAATAATTACCTGTACCTAAATAGCAGTAGATTCCCAAGGATTTGGCATTATAATCCTGAATAAAGTTCCCAGGCACTGAGACTCTCTTTACACATGCCATGACAACTGGTTGAAACTGAAAAAAAACTCAGTCAATAACTACTATTTTATCTCCAAGAAACCAATGTGACTGACTTTTATTTATTTATTTATTTATTTATTTTACCTTGTGAATTGACTTTCAAAGGCAAAAATATCCAAAAGGTGTTCTCTCTCTCACCAGGCCAAATATGTACACACAGCATTGTCCTTCCTAATCAGAGATGACATTGCTGCTGATGTTGTGCACTCTGAATTCAGATGTCACCGAATGGACTGCCCTTGAGGTGTACAGACTGAATTCAGGTATATTGTGTTGTGTGTATGAGGCCCTCACTGACAGGCTGTTTCATAGACACATGTGCCTTTCTGGCCTTATAAAGGCATACAGAGAGGCGTAGCTCATTTTCAAATAAACTAGAAATCCCAATGAGGGGGGAGAAAAGGATTTGGGGGGAGAGGTAAAGCTCCTAGTAAAAATCAATTCCACATGAATAAAAAGCAGGGAAACAACTCAGCATCTAAGCCCCACTTGCCTTTTACTTTCTGATCTTCACTTCCTACTCTTATCCTCACTTCCCAACCCCTGGTCCAGTGTTTCTAACCAGTATGGTCTGTAAACTACTTGGATCCACGTCACTAGGGAGCTTTTCTAAATGCAGATCCCCTAGCCCCATACCTTAAAGTCTGATGCCTGAACAAGACTGAGGGAACACAAAGGAAGGCAGGCCCAAACTCTGGAGAACCAGATGGAAACCTCTCTCCACTCTGATCCCCAGTGTCTCTACTTTGGTTCAATGGTTAGAACGCAGCAAGTAGCAGAAAATGAAGCCCAGGAAGACTGCAGCTGATGAAACTGTACTTAATGGAGCATGAACTCCCTTTATTGTAACACCCATCACCCTTTATTGTAATCACTTGTGTTGCTGGTCATCTTGCCATTAAGGCTATGAGCTCTTATGCTTATTCATGCAGGGCTGTGAAATCAAAACGGATTATGGCCCTCTGCTGCACACTCTGGCTGAGTTTGGATGGCTCCTGACAAGCGTGTTGCCTACACCTATACTGCGACATGACAGGTAATACCAGAGTAGCCTTACAAACTCTCATTTAATTCAAAATATAGTTCATTTGTTAGATAACTCAATTCAGCAAATGCTTATTTAATGCCTACAAAAAGCATTTCACTGAACTTCTAATCTGATTTCATGGACCTTGGAGATCAGCTAATCTAATCCCCTCAAGTTATAGATGTACAAACTATAACATCTCCTCCCCAAGGGCATGCAAGCAGAGCCAGGCAGGGGCGCAAGACCCACTCCCAGCTCAGGGCAACTCAAAATGCCTGGAGTCAAGGGGCGCCTGGGTGGTTCAGTCGGTTGAGCATCCAACTCTGGATTTCGGCTCAGGTCATGATCTCACAGTCGGTGAATTCGAGCCCCACATCAGGCTCTCTGCTGAGTGTGGAGCCTTCTTGGAGCTCTGTCTCTTCTTCCCTCTGCCCCTCCCCAGCTCGTGCTGTCTTTCTCTGAAAGTAAATAAATAAGCTTAAAAAAAAATGTCTAGAGTGAAGACTGAGTTGATGTAACTCTGCAAACAGAACAACTCAGGCCCCTCTGTAGACCTCTTGTCCTCCCCCTCCTCACTGTGCACGCAATCCAAGGGAGGCAGGAGCCCAGGCACTGCTGCCTTCACCTCTCCCCTCTGGTAAGGTGGCTGAGCTCTCCCCTGGAGCACGAACTCATTAGCTGTTTCCACTAAAATAAACTGCCTACATTAGAACCAAAGTGCCATCACTTCACAAATACCAACCTTTCCTTTTCCCCTTTAGTCAATCGTACTTTGTTTTTTTTAGAGACAGAACGAGAGAAACCAATTAAGTCTTCTGTATAAAGAGCTTTGCTGTCCCCTGGACACAGAGATGTTCCCTCTACCTTCTTTGGCTTCCAGAAAATGATCGAGTGCCAACGTGGTCCTGCCTGGGCCAGTAACTACCTGCCAAGGACAGCACAGTACCACGTGGCCTTACCCTTTAGCAGCGTCAACTGTGGTTCAACACTCTTGAGTAATTGTCAGGTGTAGCTGAAGGAGGCAGCTCCTCCTTTCTCAGTCTCACCCACCCTCCTGCCTCCTCTGGTTCTCCCAGTTTTGCAACCTACCCCTGTCCAGTATCCCAACTTCCCCCCACACTGTAAAAACATTTGATTGGCATGGTTTTATATTAAAGCCGCATCTTCTTCAGGTGGGAAGAGAGACAAAGACTGATACAGAGTAAAGATACTCAGGCTTTCAAAGGAGGGGTTAGAAATAAGCAATTAATCTGCTTTTCTTCTCCGGGATCTATTGGTAACTGTACTCAAGTTGTGAATGACAACATCCTGAAGCATTAGTTCCCAACTGTTTAAATCTGTGACATAGCTGTCAGGTCACAATACAGTGGTAATTCACAGGATTTGGTCTTTAAACGAAGCAATATGAAACACCTGGGGAGCCTATGCACCTACAAATGCTGGAGGGCCACCCCAGTGGAACAGTCAGAAGCTCTGAGGGTGAAACCATGAATCTGCACTTTCACAAGCCTCTGAAACTCGTTAACATTAGAAGAATTGTGCAGGAGGTAGTGAGAAAGGAACTCCTCTTCCCTGCCTTTCTACCCCTCATAGCCATGCTCAAGCATTGGCCTATCCCACTGCCCACTCTCCCTCAGAATAACTTGTGTATTTGGCCTTCTCATCTCTTTTTGATGATTATCATTGGTGTGTAATTTAGGATATCATCTGGCCCATTACAGTTAGCTCTTCCTAAGAGTACTCTTGAGTTCTGAACCTTTCGTGTTCCTTTTTCCCCGGTGAAAAATATATTCATCATTCCTCCCTCCCATTCACTCAGGGATTCTACTCTCGTGAGTCTAAATTTTTCTTGGGATGCCTGACTGGCTCCATTGGTAGAGTATGTGACTCTTAATCTCAGGGCTGCAAGTTCAAGCCCCACACTGGGCATGGAGCTTATTTAAAATTAAAATGCAAAAAAAAAAAAAATAGTTTTGTCTTGAAGTATGAGTGACTGCTTGGGCACTGATTAGATAGCAAGCCTGCTGGGCTGGGTGCTGAGCCAGAAAACACAAGCTGAAGTTCCTTCAGCATCTCCTGCTTCTGGTTGGTTTAGGATTGAGGACAGGATTGAGACCGAGTATAATGTGAAGGGGGAGTGTTGTGGAAACCAGAGACACACTTGACTGGACCACCTTGTCCTGTATGTCAGACTGTATGAAGTCACAGGCTTCCCTGATGAGGAGAGGGCTCACTGGAACAAGGAGTAGCTGTACATTGTCTTTGAAGCAGAGATAACACCACTGCCTCTCCACTGTTCTCCTGTACCCCTGTTCCCCTTGAGGTGCTGTGGGGTCACAGTAGGCCTTTCACACCCTCCTTGTGAAGGCTTATCTTCATGTGTAATTAAAATAGCAAAAGGGCTAGTTGCTGGACTGCTCATAAAGCAACTGTTTCGAACAGCAAAAAAAAATGGACACAGTATAGATGTCTGTCACTAGGAATGGTGTGTGTTAAGGCTAAAAAGCTACATAGCAAAGTCTAGTGAATGATTAGCTCTGGGACTATGGGTAGGAGACAGGGAAAGTGGGCGTTTCTGCTTTGTCTTTATACATTTTCTGCTATTTGACTTTCTACAAGGAATACATATTCTGTGATTTTTAAAACTAATTTTAAAGAGTAAAAAAATCAATCAATTACTAAAAAGATGTGACAGCTGTATCTGCCGTGAAGGAGCCTGTGTCTGGTTAAGCTTAAATTTACTATATAACCAGGCTTGCACTTGGGTTATGGCAGGTCAAACTTACATACCAGGGCAAGTATAGGTTGTACAGCAGCATTAAAAAGAGGAGTAAAGACTGTCAAAGTTAGACAGAATCTTCACCTGAGTGAAGTTTAAAATGAGTTTAAAAAGCAGCATCACCATTTAGCAGGTCTCCATTTAGAATCTGCTGTTTACCCTGGATGGGAGATAGTACAGGGGCACCTGGGTGGCTCTGTCAGTTAAGTGTCTGACTCTTGATTTCAGTTCAGGTCATGATCTTAGGATTCATGGGGTCAAGCCCTATGTCCAGCTCTGTGCTGCCCATGTCTGACTCTGTGCTGCCCATGTCCGGCTCTGTGCTAGCAGTATGGAGCCTGCTTGGGATTTGCTCTCTCCCTCTGTCTCTGCCCCACCTGGTTGATTTGGGACTGAAGACAGGATTGAGACCAAAGGTGGTAAAGAAGAGGTCTCGAGTATGTGTACGCACGTGCACACTCCCTCTCTAAAAATAAATAAATAGATAAATAAACGAAAATAGTAGAAAAATACTTTTTAGCAGTAATCACCCATTTGTAACAAGGCACACTAGAACAGTGTCTACTGTTCTTTTGTACTCAGGAATATTGTGCAATATTGATGTTTATTTTAATCCTTTACGTCTTGTAACTTGTGTTCTTCCAAGTGCCTGCAAGGTAGATGCTATAGGCTGAAAGTCAAGGTTCATTGTTACTATCCAGTAACAAAGATTGTTGATAAAACCGGTTTATCCTCTGCCTTCTTATTCTTGTCCAAATGTGCTATCTCTGTCAGTCACATGCTTGTCTTAGCTGCTGTAGTACACACAAAGATAGTACTCACTGTCAGTCATGTCATCTTTAAATATAAAGAAAAATACCATTTAAATACAAAAAAAAAAAAAAAAAAAGAAGATACCACATACAATTCATCTTGGTCCTAGTGGAGGATAGAGCCTAAAAATTTTTAGTATAGAAGAAGAGTCTGGGATGTGAACCAAACTATTCTATAGGAACTAATCCTTTAGCAGAACCAAAATCCTGAAGTTGAAACCAGTTATGCAAGCGTGATCACTCAGCCTGTCATAAATCAGGATATTTCAGAAAATGTAAATACTGTGATTCACTATATACCAAATCAGCACTGATGATTACAAGTCAGTAAAGGAGCAGAAATAAATAACATCACTATAAAGATACATAAGCTTACACATACACTCATACCCAGAAAAACAAATAACTGTCATGACCTTTCTTTTGGGGCCCACATGTCTGAAAACATGAGTTAGAACCATTGTCAGTGAAAACTTTCTTCCTTAAATATTTTCATCTTGTACACAATCATGTCTTCCTTCAGCAATTTCGACTTTTTCCCACTCTTCTATCACCTAAACCATAACTTGAGTGGTCTGTAGACAAGGTATTTTCCCTTCATTTCTTTCATTACTCAAATATGTCATTGGATGACATAAAAATATTTTCCCAATGTGTCCTTACACTGAGGTTGTTGCTTCATCATCCTAGGCAATATCACACCACCAAGGTTGAAAGCCACATTGCCATGGAAACATGATAATGTGGTAATCAGATAACACTACATTATTCCAGGATTATTGCTGTCAGCTGTGAAAACTTGCCAGAATCCCTTCTTAATCGTTATCACTATGTAATTATACAAATGGGCCCAATCCTTTTCTTTTCAAGAAATCAACATGAAAATTGACATTAAACAATTCAGGGAAAATCTGGTAGAGGATCAAATTAGCTGAACTAGCAGCTAATATTGCTGCCCTTAAAATAATCACCAGAATAAAATGGAAGGGGAGCCAAAGTTCCCTCTGTTTGGCTCCCTCAAACCAACAAGGTCATTCCCCTCTCCCTGAATAATCATCTGGAAAGGGATGGGGGAAGGGGGCATCTTAACAGGAGCCCACAGTAATTCTGATGTGCTTTCAGAAAAACACTGAAGTATAACCTTGCAGGGGGACCATGAAAGCATTTTAGAATACAATATAGAAGAAAGATATACGCCTTCATTTATATCTCAGAAGACAGAATTGAAAAGCAGGGGTTTGGGGGTACAATGAATCATGTTATACTGTTCTGAGAATATAAAAACATCTGATCCTTAAGAACAAGATCTGAATAACAAAAAGAGAAAATTGTCTTCTCACTGTGATGCTGGGAGTCCTGCTCCCTCTTCCATCTTCTGCAGCCCTTGCAGAAAAGGCTCCACAGCCTTGTGGTCACCA